AGAATTATCATATTATCCTCCTAATGGATAATTTAAAACAATTTTCCATTTATCCTAGAAATTCATAAAACATAACCCTATTATGTCATAATTAAAATACTGTAATTTCTGAACATCATGATGGTGCAGCCACCACAGAATGTAGGTCATAGAAAGGATCTAAGGACAACTAGGATTCAATTTACAAGTGAGAAGACTGAATTGCCATGGCTTTATTACATATTCAAGTAATAGGAAAAAGATACAAGTTGGCCTTAGTGAAATGATTTATGTTTCTCCAAATAATGAATACGGCTGTAACTGGTTTGGCTCAGTGGATACAGCGTCAGCCTGTGGACTGAAGGGTCCCAGGTTCAATTCTGGTCAAGGGCATGTACCTTGGTTGCGGGCACATCCCCAGTAGGGGGTGTGCAGGAGGCAGCTGATAGATGTTTCTCTCTCATCGATGTTTCTAGCTCTCTATCCCTCTCCCTTCCTCTCTGTAAAAAAAATCAATAAAATATTTTTTTAAAAAATAATGAATACGGGCAGAGGGGGCAGCTCTGGTTTAGTTCACCTTTTTTCTAACCCAACTTTCTCCCAGGTGCCTCTCCCTTTCCACTATAAGTCCTAGAATAGTGGTTCTCAACCTTCCTAATGCCGTGACCCTTTAATACAGTTCCTCATGTTGTGGTGACCCCCAACCATAAAATTTTCGTTGCTACTTCATAACTGTAATTTTGCTACTGTTATGAATCGTAATGTAAATATCTGATATGCAGGATGTATTTTCATTGTTACAAATTGAACATAATTAAAGCATAGTGATTAATCACAAAACAACATATAATTATATATGTGTTTTCCGATGGTCTTAGGCGACCCTTGTGAAAGGGTCATTCGACCCTCAAAGGGGTTGCGACCCACAGGTTGAGAACCGCTGTCCTAGAAGATATTTCTTCTTGAGATTGCAGAATAAACAACCTTGATTAACTAAATTATCAGCCACCAGAGTCTTTCTCCACAA